CCATAGCTTCATCCTCGACACACACTCGGTATTGCCGGATTAGGCTCTAGTAGAAGCATAATTCTCCACTGAATAAAAAAAACGCCTTAGACGGCTAGTCGTGCTTCATATTCTCTTCCTTCGTCTTTTTCTCCTCGGCCTGCAACTGTACCTCCAGCCTCCTTCTCCAGGCACAGCATAACTCTCCAAAGCTCGCTTGTATCAGCGATCGCCGATGCCATTGTCTCCGAAGCCTTGCCGGTCGCTGTGCCGACGGAAGAGGAGATGACAGTGACGGCACCGCGACGTCAAGAGGGCAGTGGACGATGGTGTGTGCAAATCCTGTCCGGGTCGAAGAGACAAAGTCGTCCGGTTGACTTGATACGACATCGGATAAACAGGCAAGTGAGAGGCTGCTGAAAGCACTTTGATGCTGGCTTGATGCATTCTTGTCTAATTTTCCTCCATTTTTAGAACCTCTACAATGCATAAAAAGGAAAGCATGTACTTTGGTAAATTAGTCTAACCTCCATCCGAAGTTCTTCCAAATCTGACGAAAATTTCAGTAGCCATACTACTTTGAAGTAGTAAATAGTAGTAGTACAGTACAAGTACTTCTGTACAAAAGTGGCTGGTGAAGATATTCGCTGGCTAATCTCACAAGAAAACGTCTTTTTTCTAAAGTCATACGGTCAGTTGACAAGTATCTTCAGACACCAAAACGTCGAGAAAACTGACTTGAGTTGCATATAAACATATGCAAAAAACGCACAAACACATTCTCATTCATGAGTACGACTAGATGCATACTAAATGTATGCATTGAATAAAAGTTCTATTACTCTGTGTCATGTGCGTTAGTTGATTTTTTGCCAAATTCTATCTGTACACCTCATGATTTCATTGAATTAAGCTCAACCTTGCTTCCAAAATAGGTTTTTTATCCAAACTGGACTGCAAATTTGACCTTGCCTGAATCTCAAACGCTGCATTATCCAGATCAGATACAAATTGGGGGCTCTGGTGAGGCCCAAGAGGGGTTAAAACTGCAGTCCCACTCATGAAAAAAAATACCTTTAGGGAAAGGAGTTTAAATGAAATTTACTGAAGTCTTGAGGCCCATCCGTATCATTGTGGGAAAACTCAACTGTCCATATTTCACCACCTATAGTTATTAAAACTCTTACACGATTAGATTAAATTGGAAAATGACATGCAAACTGATTCGATGTGTCAATTATTGAATCATTTTTGTTGTTATTCGGAAAGTATATCGCATGTAGGTAAAAGCTGCTTCGTCCCATTGATTTGAGGTAAGCTTGGAGCATTTTGCGAGAATAAAGATCTTTCTCTTAAATTGTGTCCATCTGAATAATACTACTGCTGAGCAATGGGAAGCAGCCACCATTTTATAAATGCAATAACTTACAAATTTCTTCAACATATAAACTTACACTAAGTGTAAGAACAATGGATTCCCAGGACAATTTTCGAATCCTTTTCAAATGTCGTATCCATGCGAGCTGAATATAAACGTCATTTGGCTGAGACTAGCCAATAGCAATGCAGTTTTCAGATTGGTATGCATTACAACCATAATTTGATACAATTCGCTCGTTTGTGTGGGCATTTTTATATCTCTTTTTTCTTGATCGGAAGACATAAATTTCGTATGAAAGTGCCTGATGAGGAGTTTCGTCGGCTGGTCTCATTGGAAGACGACTGCAATTGTTTGACTTTGGTACGACGTTCCACGAGACACGCTTCCTCGTTTCGGTTGCAAATTGGCTGAGCCCACTTGCGTCATATGACAGACATCCTCAGAGTTGGAACTCTTTGTTGAAAAAGTAGGCAATTCTTCTCGTCTTCATGACTCCTTTTTGATTTAGTGCAAACAAAAAACTTTTGCAAAAATGAGTTTCACCTTTAAGGATGACGGTCATATGAAGGACGTAAGCTTGGCCCATTTTTCACTCAGCCGCCGTCTTTCTGTGAAACCGACAAAAGAATCTCCTCCCAATGAGATCACTTTTAACGCAAAATAAAGGTGTCTTCACAAAAGTGTTATCATCCGATATTTATTGAAAGACCGCTACTTATGTTGCTTCCGTTATCATTAAAAGCAATAGTTGAAAGCGTATCCTACAAGTCGTACAAAGCAAGATGGTACAGTCGTATATAAAGACCATTAACGGTATAAAATTTACTGTGAACACTTTCATTTCATCTAAAAGTGCATGATGAAGAGATTCATAGGTCGATCTCATCAGAAGACGACAGCGGATTAGCGATCTAGTGCAGCATTTGGCTTTAATACAATGTTCAGGCTGATGCGGTCCACGAGACATCCTCCAACGTTTCGGGCGAAGTTGGGCCAAACTTTCCTTTATCATTTGACGAACCTCGTCATAGCCTCAAGTTAACACTAGGTCAAGAAGAGGTCAAGAAGAATTGCTAACTTGAAGTGTTCATGAGAATGAGTTCTAGCTCCGACGAGGTTCGTCATTTGACGAGTGAAAGCCCAGCCCATCTTCGTCCAAACGACGGAGAATGTCTCGTGGACTGCGTCAACCAAAAGGTCGTATTAAAGCCAAACGGAAGAGTCAAACCGGAATTAGCCGTCGTCTTCTGATGAGATCGAACTGCGAATCTTTTCATCATGCACTTTCATACGAGATAAGCGTTTTCACAACAATCCTATCTCAGGATATTTTCTTCGTATACATAAAATTGGTTGTTCTTCCAGCAAATGGATCACCTTATATATCTTTTTACTTGTTCTAGAGATAGATCCTTTTATTTGGAATTACATCTTTGTATATTCAAAGAATAGGCTCTAAGTTCTAGTCACTAGTTGTGAAACCAGGCGAAAACAGGTGCAATTCTCCGAAGGCAGCATTAGTCTGTCAGTTGTCAGGCAAACTTCGAAAGCATCACGACAGCCACGCTCACTTGCAGGAAAATCCAGAAAGGGCCTCTTCCAAGCGGTTAACTTTGCAAAGTCTCAATGTCCTCATCAGCAAGCATTTGAGGTGCCTGAACGTTTGTAAGCCACCAATCGGATCTTGATCCACGATCATTCAGACCAACTGGCAACGTCCGAATAGAGCAGATGAGTAGACAAAGAACAAACTTTATTTTAGAAGTGAGCTTAGTCTTGTTGTCAGGGTGACTTAGCTGGATGCACTTTGCCCGAAGTCCTCGGCTATGGTAGTTATCATTTGTCCCAGCGCCAGAACGTGGACTCGGTACATTCTCAGACGTTTCACCAGAATTGTAGTCGGCATCGTCAGTGACTCTTGCCAATCTCAGCAGCAAGCTACTACTCTTGTCGCTTTGACGAGTTGCAGTTTGGTTCCGGGAATGGCATGACTCTCTGACGATACCAGTGAAACGTCTGAGAATGTACCAAATCCACGGCATGATGCTAGGAAATATGGTAACTCTGACAATAGAAACAAGTTGCGAAAACGAGGTCAAACCATATCTGAGCATCGAAAGGAGATTGTGACCAAAATAGATGCCACAATATCTCGGTCCTTGTATCTACGCTTAAACTACGGTAGCAAGTTTGTCAGAGAATGCGCTAAATACAGCCGGACAAAGAAACCAATTGTAAGATTATCATGCCATCTGATCTTTTTAAACTAATATAAGCGTGATGGTATCACTCCCGGATTTTGTGACTTTAAGAAAAAATATTATTCAGACAGGGTTAATGAGATTTTTCACCAGGCCTCCATTCAGAAGTTAAGCGAATAAGGTATTTAAATGGGTTGACCTCGTTCTCGCAACTTGGTCTTGTTGTCAGGGCGACTTAGTAGAACGCACCTAGTCGG